TTTGCATCCTGTGACGTGGACACTATACTGCAAGTTGCTCTGCAGAGATGCAACACCTACTGCTGCTACTTTGGGCCTTCTACAGCCATCAGATCAGAATGACTTTCACTCACTACCGTGGAGAGTCCTGTGGAGGTCTGAAGAAAGAACCAGTCACTAATATACTAAGTTCTTCAGCCTGTACTTTGTATTAGATCACTTACTTATTGGGTCCTGATGTTTTTAGGCCTATGCACTGCATCAGCTGTAACAGTATTGTTCAGGCAATACTGATCTCTCCAACAAGCCTTCAAGTGCTTACTCCTTGCTCTCTGGGGATTTGAACAATATTTATTGTGCTGTTCTGGCGCCTCTGGAGTAGTTAGGAATTTTGTTTTTTGATCTCTTCACCTAGCTTGGCCCAGCAGTTGTCTCAGATTCAGACAGGCTGCAATGCTGTTTGTGTTACATCAACTCTTGTAATTATTTTGTAGAAGGAGCAGATAACATTCCAGGAACAGTAACGTGGGAAGGCAAAGAAGATAATGCCATCTATCTGAAGTGGTCAGAACCTGTAAGCCCTAATGGATTGATACTGATGTATGAAATCAAATATGGGCAGCATGGAGAGGTGAGGATTGATCAAAGACATGTTTGTTTGAGGGAGGAGGGGTTCTGTTGGAACTAATCTCATGTGAGCTGAGGGGTGAAAACATTGTCCTTCCTACCTGTGGTCTGGTCAACTCCGACAAGCTATAGCGGGTCAGACTGAGTCAATACTTGGATGGAAGTCCCATTGAAATACCCTGGTGTGAATACAGTAGTCTTTTTTTGTTTTCTTTTGTTTTTTGGATTGGTATTTTTTGAATGGCTTAAATATGGTATAAGGGTCTCAGCGACTTAAAGCTGAGGTCCTGGGCACGTGTGGTTTTTGAAGCTCATGTACTACGTTTCACAAGACTCAGAGCATTACCTTCCAGTGCCCATGCTAAATTCATCTCCTACATTATTAAGCATTGGTGTGCATTATTAAAAAAAAAAATGACTTGATTTAATTCTGGATGAGCCCACATTTTCTAGATGGGAGGGTGATTTTTGTTTGTGTAAAGTTCGTAGAGTGCTTTGGGATCCATGTGCCTAGGAGATGCTTTATTAATGAATCACTCATTTTAAAGAAAATAAAAAGGAACTTTAGGATATAATACTTAAAATACAACTAAATTTTGTATTCCTCCCAAGCTTTCCCAAATTTCCCCCTTTTTAGTTCTCCCGTTAAGCTGAATACTTTTTAAAGAAATAAAGGTGCTTTGCTTTTTAAGGTAGACTTTGATATAGTTATGAACAGATTTTAATACTAAATAGTACAGATACAGCACAGTGGTCAGTATTGATGGTATTCTCTTTAAGGAGGAATAGGGAGAACTGCAAATACTAATGTAACTATTTGCTAAAGCAAAATAAGCAAATTTGTAAGGGCAGTTGTATAGCAACAAGTTTTCCCTTTATTTTAATAGTGCTGTTAGCAGCAGCATTCATCCAAGGATTTGTAGATATTGAGTCTTGCAACATACCTCTGAGACAATTTCTAAGTATTATGCCAAATTTACAGGTGGGTGAAGATTTAAGTGACTTGTCCAGCAGCTGTGGCGGTACTTGAAATAGAAACAAGGAATCCCGACTCTCAGTCTCTATTTCTAGCCAATATGTTACAATCCTTCCCTTGTTTTACTTGCTTTTACCATTGTTGGATTCCAAATATCCTTAAATTGCACAAAGGGAGAACTGTTCTGATTTTAGTTGAAGAAACAAGTTTAAATCATGAATGCGATGCAAAGCCCAGCAAAAACTGTGACCTTACTGAGTTCTTGACAATTACAAGTATAAAAATATTTACATGTAGTACAAGCCGTTCTTCTTCTTTCAGGAGAAACGGGAATGTGTTTCTAGACAGGAATACAGGAAGTTTGGAGGAGCCAAACTAACTCATCTAAACCCTGGAAACTATTCTGCCAGAGTTCAGGCCACCTCTCTAGCTGGAAATGGATCATGGACTGAACCAGTGTCTTTCTATGTACAACCCAAACGTAAGAGGAATTTTATAGGTCGCGTCAAACTATCTGTGGTTACTAGCTTATTTCCTGAGTTATCTCACTTACTCCTGTTGTTTGCATGCATGATTGGGACTTTGATCATCCTTCCTAAGTTCTCTATATACTTCCTCAGTTGTGCATGCTTCTTTGGGAGCTGTTCTGCATTCTCTTAATTGGAAAGTGCATATGAATGAACAGTACCTTCTGAGGCTAGGTCCTATTCTGTTTTGCATGTGTATACACATGTATAGGTTAGTGTGTCTACACATTAATAATAGTAAATGTTGTCCCTGTGGTATACTAATCTTGGGTGAAAATGTACTGCTAGGAATAACCATACAGCAGTATTATGAATTGGAATCTGGAACCCATCTGGCAATATGGAATACCTATCGCATGCATTAATGTGATACAAGAAGCCAAGTTTATTTGCATGGAGCTTCGTTACAATTTCATTTTTAGTTGTTTTTTTTCCTACTATGGAACTCAAGTGGCACTTTGACAGAAGATCAACATGTTGACGCAAGAGGGGGTAGTGATATTGGAAATGAAGCAATTGTTTTACACAGAAACAAATTGGTAAACAAGTTCCACCCAGTGCTTTTATGGCTACCATAGGCATCTCGTCTTTTTCTTCTACATCTGCACATCTTATTTTTGTTTCTGCTTATTTGCAAAGCAGATACAATTATTACCCTCTATATCCAGGCAAAATACCTGTGTCCTCTTCTCCCATTTGTAATAAAACAAATTTTGTTAGAATTTTGAGTTGAAATTGGAGCAACAAAATATTTGTGTGCATGCTGTCTTTATATATAGATGTGTATATATAGATTTAAAAGGATAAGCATGCATTAATCATTTAAAGAAGAACATCAGACCATAAACATACCTAGTCAAACCAAAACTCAATTAAAGAGAACGCTGCTCTTTTACAATATTAATGCTGTCCTCTTTCTCAGATTTCTGATTCTCTGGTCATTTATTGTTAGGGAGTCTTCCTGAAGAAATTTCTACACTTCAGACAGAAAACTGAATTTTCTCATTTTGCAGTATGGCAATACCTTGTGTAGGCTGAAAACTCTCGTGGTGGTAGAAATTCCATAGCAACGTAAGAAATTTGTTTTCTTGTCTATTTCAGCGGCAGACTATGGGAATTTCCTGCACTTGATAATTGTGCTCCCCATTGCAGTGCTGCTGATCATTGGAGGTTTGGTAATAATGCTGTACGTCTTTAACAAAAAGAGGTGAGATCTTGCATACACTCGTGAGGGAGACTAAACTGGGAGGAAATGTTCATTTTGAACTCAATGCCCAAAGGGGAAGTTTGAATTTGAAACCAAAGCGGTGTTTGGAGGACCATACAGGATAGACAAAAGCAGATTTTTCTCTGATTGGGAGATGATGTTTCGAGTTACTAATGAGCATCTGTCTGTTTAGGGAGTTATGGAGAGGCGTTTCATTACCATGCTGAGCTTGAGAGGAGGGAAAGGGGGGGAGGGGATGGTCTTTTGGGGATGTATTTCCATTGGGACAATGATAGCAAAAATAGAACCTTATAGACCAGAGGTTTAGCCAACAATTTGAATCACTTTGGAAACCACAAAACCTTATTCGCTGGACAGATTGTAGTCAATCCAAGTGAACATGGTATTTCGCATCTCGGTAGCCTCTTCACAATTGCTGAATGTTTTTTAATGAAGAAAAGGAAAATTTAGTATTTGCACCAACGTTTAAATAAGCTTTGGCTGTTTTTTGCATGTAGAGATTTACGTTAATCCCTTCTCCCACCTCAGATATAGAGGCACTCCTCGGACTTACGACACAATTGGTTCCTGAAAATTGCGTCGTAAGTCGTAACTCGGAACCGCAATCCACTCTATTGCGGGACCGAACGTCATAAAGTCGAAACCAATTGCCGTAAGTCGAATCAGGGTGTCCATTCAGAAACGTCGTAAGTGCCGTTCGTCATAAATCGAACGTCGTAAAGTCAAGGACTGCTTGTATTTACTGAAAATGCTTACATTCACTTTACACATGGCATTTACCAAATCTCTGTCTGTACAAGAGCGATAGTTTTTAGTGGCACTGTTTATTCTGGCATTATAGGTTTGCTAATTGACACCCCTCTCTTACCCAACCTTTATCTTATACAAACCCTGCCAGCTCATCCCAAGCCTGCTCCAGCCCAGGGAATGAAATGTTTGGTCATGTTTGCAGAGCCTTGATGATAGTTTATTAATCTGCCAGAACTGGACCATAAAAGAGGTTGCATGTAGCATGTTTCCTAAAATCAAGACTATCCCAAACCCACCTAATCTCCTGCAGGTTGGGAAGCATGGAATCCCACGACTGATCCTGAGCACAGATCTCCTGCATGGCACAACATCATATAATCAGTCCTGGGGGAAGAGCTTTTGGATACTTTTCTAAAAAAATCTGCTCTAGGAATCATTTTGGGGAAGTTGAATGGCCTGTGTTATATAGGGGGGTCGGACTAGATCACAGTGGTTCCTTCTGGCCTTGGAATCTGTGTTTACATTCAGCCATAAAAAGAAATGTGAGAACCTAGTGCCTTACAGTGTTTCATATTCATTCTTCTCTGGTGCAGATATGGTGTAAAGAGGACTGGAACGGAACAGGGGAAGGGGGGTGGGGAGGGGAGGGGTCTCCCATGAAGACTGTTCAGGCCATTTTCTCAGTTGGTGTGGCCCGTATTGGTATATGCAGGGAGAAGAATAACTCTGTTAGATCAACAAAGTCAGTTCCTCTCTCATCTTGTCTGAAAACCCCTCCACGTGCCACGTGTAAGAAGCAACAGGACAGGTGGTGGAGCAAATAGTGGAAAAGCCCAGGAAGAGGAGGATTGGAAATGCTAGTTGTGTTTTTAAGGATGAAAAAAAATACATCTTATGTTTTAACAGGAACAGTGACCGACTAGGCAATGGAGTGCTTTATGCTTCTGTGAACCCTGAGTACTTCAGTGCTTCTGATGGTAAGTGTGGCCTTGAGCTTCTGATGCTTTTACTTTAATATATTCTGTTGTGTGAGATCAGGTCAAGCCCCATTTTGAAAGATGCAGAGATTTAATAGGACACAGTCAACCTAAAACTCAGCTTGCTTTACCTATTTTACTCACATATCAATAGTCTGTCAGTGGAAATGTATAATGCCACCACGGTTAATAAACTGAAAAAATATTTTTAAAAAGTCTTCTGTCTTCTTGCAATTTGCACAGTCAGTCAAACTAGATAGAGCAGTTTCACTTTTGGATTCTCATCCAGTCGTCTAGTGTTATAGTTTACCTGCCGCAACCACAGGTTCCGCCGATCGCGGCTCCCACTGGCCGCGGGTCGCTGTTTCAGGCCAGTGGGGGCTGCAGGAAGTGGCACAGGCTGAGGGATGTGCTTTACAACTCATGTTTTGTATACTGAGTTTGCACATAGTTGTTCCCTAGTCATTTTCCATTATGCAAGCACCATAGTTATGCTTCCTTTTTTCCACCACAGTCGTCATCCTTTAAGATTTGTGTGTGCTTTAGGCTGGTAACAATCAAGTAATCACAATCCTAGATAGAACTGAAACTGGCCATGAAGTTGACGGCCTCTGCTAAAGGTCATCTCAGGTGAGCTAGCTTGATAGTCATGATGGCAACACAAAGCACTGACATTGTTTGGGATTGTAGCTTGTTCCTTTGACTGCTAAGGCTGGGTTTTCTACAGAGAGGGAAGAAAAAAATCTTGAGTCTTTAGGTGCTATGTAAAAGCCTAAGGTAGGTAAACTGTCTGGGAAAGAACATGGAAACAATTGCATATATAGCTTGATACTTACGTCCTCGTGCTGTGGGCATTTTGCTACTCATAATTCATGGTTGGGGTTTTTTATCTTGAAGCCACAAGTCTTCTCCCCATTTGCACAACTTTGTGTGGAATATCATTGGCTGTTCTCTCTCGCTCTAGTATACGTTCCGGATGAGTGGGAAGTGCCCCGGGAGAAGATCACCATGTGCCGGGAGCTTGGGCAGGGCTCCTTTGGAATGGTTTACGAGGGAATAGCTAAGGGAGTGGTGAAGGACGAACCAGAAACTAGAGTGGCCATCAAAACTGTCAATGAGTCTGCAAGCATGCGTGAACGGATAGAGTTCTTAAACGAGGCCTCAGTCATGAAGGAGTTCAATTGTCATCATGTGGTAAGTTGCTTGAAATTGAGCACAGTTTCCTTTAACGTACCTGTAGTTACTGGCATGATGGTATCAGGTGCCAGGCTTGATTGACTCCATGATACCAAGAGTCAAGACCTCCTAAAGCAGCATGCTAAAGGAAAGTGCTTCCTCATCACACGGCTCTCACGACGTGCGTCGTGATAATGCGTTAATAGGGACGGCCACTGCCACAGAGTTGGGATCGAAATCTTTTCGAAACTCTTCCCAAGATTTGTGGGTGTTGGTTCCAGACTAGGGCCACTCCTAATTAATAACCGGGCTTTTAATTGGTTAATAATTTACCCAGTAATAATTAGCCATATCTGCTGGGTAATCTTAACTTTTCCCTTTCAGGTGCGGCTGCTTGGAGTCGTCTCGCAAGGCCAACCAACACTGGTTATCATGGAGCTCATGACACGCGGGGATCTCAAGAGTTATCTGAGATCTCTGCGGCCGGACACAGAGGTGAGCGTGTGGGTTGGTTTTTTTTCCTCCGCTTGCAAGAAAAGGTAATGAGTTCAACACACCAAACTTGCCCATGCTGTCAATCTCCTGCCTTGTTTGGAGCAACTGTCCTTGTCAGTGTTTTCTGATGTAAACCTTCCTCACGCACATTGGCCCAGTTACTGTACTGGCTTGGCACAGCTGCGGAGCCTCATTCGTCTGTGATTTAGTACACAATACCCCCGGCTTTCTGATGCATACGTTAGCAGGTTTCTGCAGACCTTTTTGTGTGTCTCATTTTTATCACATCTTATTTCCTCCACCCCATTTATTTTAAACGTTGTGGGCCTGTTAAATTACAGATTATCTAAAAAGAGACCATTGCAGAAATGCAGGACTATCTCCAGTTCACTCCTCATGTTAAAGCCAACTGATATCTTCATTGTGTACCATAATTTCCCTCATTCTTTTTTCTTTTTAATCTGTGAACTAAGTGTGGTGCATAGTTTACTTGCCCTGCTGGCAGCTAACCTTCATCACTAGCTATAATAGGAGCCCAGTAACTGAGTAATCAGCTTCATCATTTCATTGCGGACTTTTCCAGGGTGTTCACGCCCAGGGCTCTTCAGAACCTTCTCTGAGTTCCTGCTACTCTTTGCTCACTCCCCTGTGTCCGACCTGTGCATTTAAGGAGTTAAATACTTAGAAGATAAATTTCATTCTGTATTTCTCGCAATTATCTTTTTTTCTCTTTGAGCTCTGTTAATGAAACTCCAGCTGTTCTGTGATCTGCTGCTCCTTATGCCAAAAGAGCGTTTTTCACAGGGATAGTAGAATGTGTACAGTAGCACACATGTCCCACCGCTGTGTCACTAAGTGCCTGTTTTTCAGGTTTGAATTCATCTTTCTTGCCTAATCTGACTCTTGATAAAGCTGCAACACAGTACAATCGTTTAAAAAATGCACGAGCAGGGTAATTGCTCTTGGACGAAGCCCTACATGCTGCCCCTTTGTTTTTGACATAAATTATGAATGAGCACTTTGCAATAAAACGAATATTTAGTCATGCTCATGTTTAATATTCAGCCCTGTCAGTCTAATAGATAAAATCACTCACGTACATTACAGGGTCCGAAAGGTTAGGAAAGGACGTTAGAGGTCACTTCCTGCTCAAATTAAGGTTGGCCGTGTTTAAATGTGCTCAGCACTTTTCTGTGACCCTCAATTTCACAGTGCAGCATTTGTGATGTAAATAATTTATAGCAACAGAGAGCAAACACCTGGTTTGTGTGTAAGGTTTAAAATGAAGGGCATTTTATGAAACAAAAGGCAGGTTCTTTAAAAACACTGTTCTGTACCCCATCATTTAATGGGAATATGGATTACATAAGGATTGGGCTAGCTTCTCAGCACGGAGGTCAAGGATTTTTTTTATCAAGGTACAGGTCCTGGGTCATATTGAAGAGCTCACCAAGAGCAAAAGTAACAAAATTCAGTAGACTTCGGAGACAGTGAGCAGTGATATTATAAACAAGAGAATGATCGAAAAGGAGTACTGCCTAGTCTGTTTTTCTCTTCTGCATGCTGACTTATTGTCGTCCCCCCCCAACCCTCCCTTGAAAAGTGATTGCTGCGAGTGGGAGGTGCTGGGACAGAGAGGAGAAGTTGCTGATCCACAGGGCCACTGGCAGGCGGGAGGCGTGGTGGGGGGGTGGAGGGGAGCTGATAGGGGGGCTGCCGGCCCACCCTGGTTCCAAGCCCCCACAGCCAAACAACATTGTAAGCAAACATTGTGCAACTTTAAATGAGTATGTTCTCTAATAGATCAGCAATGAAACAACGTTAACCGGGACAACGTTAAGTGAGGAGTTACTGTATCTTATAGTGCTTCTCATACTGAACTCATTGTTCTAGATAGATGCAGTGGATTGGCTCCTTCCTGACTGCCACAAATTCTTGAGCCAGTGATTTCACCACACAGTCATGGCCCTTCCACAAAGGGTTCCAGCTTACATAGCCCTTGCTATCAGTAGGGTATAATAATTGCATACCTTCAGATGGATGAATTTTTCCAGGTTTCCTTAGATCTATCCCTGTGGGTCCTTTGCTGTGAGATCCATTCCATTTAGGAATTGGGGAACTTGGAAGGGTTCCCAGAGAAGGAGTAGAGAGACTCATAATAATAAACACGTGACACACATTTTGAAAGTGCTGAACAATCATAATAAACCTGAACACCATCAGCTATAGATAAGTATCATTAACACACCCACCCACACAGTGAACGTTTAGTGATTTGATCTGCTCAGGACTTCTGCCTTCTACTTTCCTGCTCAACCCACTATCCAACACTGCTTATCTTGTAGCCGGAGGTATAAGTCTTAGTCAAATTTGCACTGGCAGATGTTAAACCACAGTGTGATGTGCTGAGCTATATGCAACCATCTCAAACGTTGCCCTCCAGTATAGTATAGCTAATAGCTATGGTAGCAAAAGCTGTATATACCTTTAGTTGACGATCATGAGTAAATCTATTTTATGAAAATTATCTGAATGGCTTTTTTCCCCCTTTTGCAGGAGTATATAAGTAATTCAAGAGGCAGCACGTCACTGGGTGTCAGGAGAAATAATTTAACAGTATCTTGTCACATTTTCTGTTTTGTTTCTGTTGATAGGCGCGCACTGAGTTTAGAATTCTGAAGTAATGCGAGAAGGTGATTTCTTAAAACTTGTAGAAGAACTTTAATAGCAAAAATGACCCGTTTAAAGCAAAACTTGTTAGTATTCCCCAAAATAGAATGTGCTGCTATACAGGAGCTAATTGTAACCAAGTTTTATGTGGGTGGAGAGAGAAGACATGATTTTCCCACTAAGCAGATGCTATGGTCTATAATCATAAGTTGTTGTTCAGACTGGTCCTGGGTGTCGTGTCAGACTGACTTCTGATGATCTGATTAAGAAATGCATGTTGCAGTTTTTGAAGTGGAAACAATTTCTTCCCCCCGCCTCACACTTCTACCTACTTATTCTTGCTCAGAATAACCCAGGCCAGTCTCCTCCAACTCTGAAGAAGATGATTCAGATGGCAGGAGAGATTGCTGACGGCATGGCATACCTCAACGCCAACAAATTTGTGCACAGGGATCTCGCTGCAAGGAATTGCATGGTGGCTGAAGATTTCACTGTAAAAATTGGAGGTACTTTTTCTTTCCTTCTCCTCCCCCCCCCCCCCTTTAAACCTCAAATGAAACGGGGGGAGGGATAGCTCAGTGGTTTGAGCATTGGCCTGCTAAACCCAGGGTTGTCAGTTCAATCCTTGAGGGGGCCACTTAGGGATCTGCGGCAAAAATCAGTACTTGGTCCTGCTAGTGAAGGCAGGAGGCTGGACTCAATGACCTTTCAAGGTCCCTTCCAGTTCTAGGAGATGGGATATCTCAATTAATTATATTATTATATATTATATTATATAATCCTACGGTTGGCATTGAAAAAGGCACCTTAATTTCCTTAAATTGTCACTAAGTCGAGTATTTGATTCTGGGGATGAATATGTTCTACCTGAGGACTCACTTAAATGTGCTTATAGTTATGTCCATCTGAGTTTTCACTATCCGGGATTTGGTCCAAGTTCAGCGCTTACCTACTTGAGCTTTCTGGGAAGGAACAGCATAGTCTTTCATGAGATCTGAACTAGAAGATATGAAAGGAAATTGAATTAGCTTTTGGGGAGAGAGGGGGTTTATCTCCAAAAAATAAAAACCACTTGAAGTGATGACATAAAAGTGATTTGGTAAAAAGTGCAAGTTTCTTCTTAGATTTTTTGGGGAAAAGAATCAGAGTTCAGCATACAAAGAGCCCAGCTTGTCATTGTGTAGATATATTGAAAAAATAATTTTGCTTATTTTATCTTGAGTATGAATTTGTGCTGAACGTGATAAACTGAAGGCACTGGCCAGAGCTGTCCCTAGAGTAGGCAGGAACTGTTCTTGCTCTTCCACTGAACTATGCAATGCTAGCCCTGACCCTACAGTACTACTGCTAGACCAGTTCTGGAACTCCCATAAATGCAATCATTCAAATCTACTCATGACCCAGTTCTGTTCCCAGAGAAATCAATGGGAAGATTCCTGTTGGTTTCAGTGAGGGTGAGACCAAATCCTGGGAGATATCTCTGATGAAGTAAACCATTATGCTAACAAATCACAAATACTTTGTGTTGAAGCAGTGATTCTTGGTTGGCCAGGTTCTTTGGGACATGTTAATTATCCTGGCCTGTAGACTCATGCGTTTTATTCCCCTACCTTCCAGATTTTGGCATGACCAGAGATATCTACGAGACAGATTACTATCGGAAAGGAGGGAAAGGTTTGCTTCCTGTGCGCTGGATGTCCCCAGAGTCACTGAAGGATGGAGTCTTCACAACACATTCAGACGTCTGGTAACAAAACAGGGGCTTTTAAAAACAGTTTATATATTCTTCTTTTAGCCTCCATCAGATTTTTATGGATAAAAACAAGCAACTAAGGTCTACTAAGTCTTCAAAGGCTCTGCTTTTCCCCCGCCTATTTTACTGACCATGAGTCACTCTATTTATGCCATCCCCATTGTAAATTGTCCATCCGAAACCCTTTATCCCATATTCTGTTCTCAGATGCGTGCGTAGCTTCCATTAAAAAGCGTCTGCCTGAGACTGAAGGGATAATCGGCCATTGGAGAGGATAAGTGCTTCTTTCAGGGATAGGGAATCAACCACTCATAGCAAAAATCTATGGCCTACGCTTACCCAGAAAAGCACCTTGGTCATTTCCAGTCCTCCTCCTCTGAGAAAAGCATTGAAAGGTGTCAAATATACACTCAGATTCTTCGACCTGATTCTTATCAAATTCTTCTGTGTACGTAACTCTGTTTTCTTACATAGGAAGTACAGAAGCTAGAACGCACTGACCTATTCTTTGGAATCATCCGTTACGTATTTTCCCCTGTAGTTTTTGCATACTGTTTCACTCCAATACTACAAGATCCTTTAAAGAAAAAAATTGCATCATAGCCATGCCCATGAAGTTAATAATAGAGCTGTACAGGGGAAATCAAAATATGCCTTTTAGAAAAAAAATACTCTGGGAATAACTTTTTTTTTCTTCTCAAAGGTTTGAGGATAGGTGCCCAGCTTCTGAAAGTAAATGCAGGGCTTGGCAAGAGCTTAATATGTACTGGCAAACCTACATGTCTAAGTCTCTCTTGTTTTCTCTGCCTTCCTAGCAAGAGGTTTTACAGCTGGTGTGTTACAGAATTGGCAGTTGATTGCCTCCAAATGTCTGGAAGTTGGTAGAAAAATTATTTAAGTAGTAAACTATATGATTTTTAAACAGGTTGGATGTTTTGCAGTCAGTGGATTGTAGTTCTACACAGCATCAACTTTGAGTGAAAGTTTTATCATTGAAGTTATGACAAAGGAAAGCAAGAGGGTTTTTTTTGGCATAGTTCATAACGCTACTAACCCGTCAACCTATGAAAATGTGTGTTGCTTAGAAATGACAGACTGAATCCAGCCAAATCCTCTAACTACTGTAGGGAAAAGCAATCACTGTAGAAGTTAAATTTGCCATTTTAGCCACGTGTTGTTGTACATGCAGTAATAGTTGCATTCCAATAGCACTTTTTATTACAACTTAGGTACATAAATAGCACCACTGAAAACAGCCTTCTCTGGCTAGAGGGTGACAACCAGCTAACATGACAAAGGAGTGGATTGCTAGCAATCTTACTCTTATTACACACAACAAAAGGTATTTTGGGACCAGTGAAGTCACAGAGTAGACAGAACTTCAGTTTAATATATTATCCAAAAAACCTAAACACACACAACCATCTGGAATTGAGCTGGTCTAGTTTGAAGAGCAGAGCAACACGATTTTGACCCATTTTTATTGCCGACCAATAATTTGTAAATCCACCAGTGGTCCTCAGCTGTCATTTACATCAAGGACTGACTATACTTGGTCAGTTCTTGCACCTTGGTAAATAATCCAGCTCATTCCACTTGCTTCGTTTTTCTCTTTAAAACTACCACTTAAACTGCATATTGCTTGAACAAAACCCAAATGACAGACACAAATTCTAGACAAGGCACGAATTTAATCATCAGAAGTGAATTAGTGCTCCAATACATGCAAACTGGCCGAGGTGTGGGCTCGTGTGTTATCTAACTGCCACAGATCAGTGTCCTTAGAAATACCACTTCAGAAAGTTTTATGAGTGCTTAAAATGCAGCCATTTAAACATCAGTGGCACAAAACAAGTGTGTGATTCTTTACCACAGCAGTGTTGTGAGGAGCAGAGGGAGAATACGCATCACTATAGAGCTATATAATCCATTACTCAATCCAAAGCAAGGTTAAACAAACACTACTTCACTTCAACAGTGGCACAACCATGTAATCCCAAAACATAGGTATCTTAGCAGCAGCTGCAAAAGAAGGGGCGGCGGGGGAAAGCAAATCACCAAAGACGAGGCTGGAAAAGACCAACCTTAAAAAAAGATTATTTCTTTGGCATAACAGACTTCTGCTTGTAAAAATAGAAATTGTCATTTGTATGGTACCATACTACGGCTCTTACAAAAGGAACTTTAGAGCTTAGAAATATTCAGACATGGTGTTTGTGAATGAGCATATTTTAGAATGCATAGCTTCCAATTCCAGAAGCATTGAGAAATAGATCTTTGCTTCCTTGGAAAGAATTTTTGGGAGCTGATTACATGTACTTTTCTGTAACTCCCTATTCAGTGTAAAAATTATAACACTTCCCCAGAGAAAGAAATGACCTTTGGGGAATAGTTCGTCACCGTTTGGCACCACGTTTCAAGAAAGATCTGGACGAACTGGAGAAAGTCCAGAGAAGAGCAACAAAAATGATTAAAGGTCTAGAAAACATGACCTATGAGAGCAAGCTGAAAAAAATGGGTTTGTTTAGTCCGGAGGAGAGAAGACTGAGAAGGGATATAACAGTTTTCAAGTTTATAAGAGGTTGTTACAAGGAGGAGGGACACAAATTGTTCTCCTTAACCTTTAAGGAGAGGACAGGAAGCAATGGGCTTAAATTGCAGCAAGGACGGTTTAGGTTGGACATTAGGAAAAACTTCCTAACTGTGAGGGTGGTTAAGCACCAGAATAAATTGCCTATAGAGGTTGTGGAATTTCCATCATTGGAGATTTTTAAGAGCAGGTTAGACAAACACAGTCAGGGATGATTAGATAATACTTAGTCCTGCCATGATTGCAAGGCACTGGACTAGATGACCTCTTGAGGTCCCTTTCTGTCCTATGATTCTGTAAATATTTATTATCCTTCTAAAATATTTCCTTTAGGATTATTTAATGTCTAATGCTAGAAACAACTTAAACATTTTTCTAAATCCTCTTTTGCAGGTGTAATAGTCAAGGTATGAAGGAATGGTTAAATATGGGGAATATAGTGGTGTGTGTCTGTGTACACAATGTGTATCAATAGACTGAGTATATTTCATACCCACACATTCAACCACACATATCCAAAATCATTAAATTCAAAAGATTTAAACTTTTGAACATCTCAGAAGCATTGAAACCTGACTTATCACTGTCATGAAATACTCAGTGTCTTGTTATTTGATCTGCTTGTGAGTAAAACAGCCATTCCAGTCTGTTTTAAATAACATATAGAGCAGACCAGATGCTATACATTAAAGACCTCTCCTTTTCAGTACTCAGGCTTTGAAGTTGCTTCGTGCAAACAATATTGTTTGGCTGTATTTTGGGGGTATTTTTCTTGCTTCCAAAAAAATTAAAATACAGAGAGTATTTTTCTGCCTTTCTGGTAGTATATTGTGACATCAGGTTCCACAATCTTAGATGCCATTTTTAGGAGCCAAATGTCAAAATGAGAAAACTGCAAATGGCCAGACATCAGGATTTATAAGCTGTCAGGTGAAATGGCAAACTGTAAAAGTGTGTCTGGAGGGTTTGAAGGGCGAGGGTTTAGTCTGGTAATTCACTTTGTTATTGTTCTTAAAGACTGAGGAATGAGGTAACTAGGGAAGACTTTTCGTTGGGCTGCAAGGAGAGGGCCAAGATCTTAAAATTAATGCAGTACCTTTTGGGATCCAGAGCCACAAGGTGCCTTTCTGTATGATAGGTCTTTGCCATTTACAATGTCTGTTAGATCTGCTAAACTATTTTAAAGGAGCAATGCAGGTTTGTTCCTTGCAATGTAATCTCTAGTATTGTAGTAGCACTCAGGAAATAAACTCAGTAGCCTCTTTCCTGTGGCTATCAGAATAGCAGTAAGGCACTAAGAAGTGGAGCAGAGATTTTTTTGTTTTGTTCCAAGTGTAACTGCATAGTTGCAAAACCCTTTCGTCATTTCTGGTTTAAACAAGAACCCATTTTAGATACAGTGGATAACCTGAGATGTAAAACCACTCTACCATAACCGCCCAATAATATTGAACTCCTATTTTCACAACACAAACCTTACTACTAGCCCACACATCCTTGCTTCCCTATAGCAAGTTGGGCTGGGTGCAATCATGGTGAAAACAAGGATCTGATTTTGAAAGATAGAATTGTTCTTCTTTGCTGCTCAACAGTGTGTAAATGAGATGAGGCTTCAATCCTGTAGAGATTATTGATATTATTGTCCATCTTGATCTCATGTTAGTTTACTAACATTTTAAGAAAATTTCTGTAGGTGCATCAAGGCATTAAAAATGTTTTATCTTTAATTACATGAAGGAGCTGCTTAGTTCTGTGTAAGATTGTCACGGAAAAGAAACGTGACATTTTTCATGTCAAGTGCTTCTAAATCATAACTGTACTTGTCTCTATTACCTACTGAACAGCTCACGCTACTAGATCAGCATCTTTCTCCTACTGTCCTTTTGCAGATCTGTAGATAGGTTCCCTGTATCTTGCAAAATGACAGTTGAGCTTCCCAAGATGGTTTAAATGTTCTAAATAGATCTTCGTAGCGCAGCGTTGGCTCTTGGTGCAAGAGGCACAGAAAGATGTACATTTTTGCATCCTATATGATTAAACAGACCCAGGCATCTTCCCCACATCTACTCTAAAGCAAGCGAGTTGCATTGGTTGCTGTCATGTCTCAGATATGTCTTGATGTTTGCATTGCCTCTGTAACTTGGCACATGGGAGAACCTAAAGCAGAGTGACAAAGGGAGAAACCAGTATTAACCAAAAAGTATTCCTGTGCCACAAGCAGGTTTTTATATGGAGAACAAACCATATGGCATTTGCAGGCTTAGCAGCATACATTTTAATAGGTAGCCATGTCATGGCTGAAGTGGGAAAAACTCAGGGTTTTTTACTGTTCAGTGTTTCTGTTGTTGAAGCACGTCAGACAAAATGAAAGGAAAAAAGCAGCTAACCTCAGAGGAGGGCTATGCTGCATGCTTGTCTTCCTGAGCTCCCTTTCTTTCCCCATTTGCCAGAAGTACCCGAATATAAGAGAGAAGAAATGTCACGAGTTGTTTTTGGGTTTGTTTGTTTGTTTTCCCCACATGTCAGGGTTACACTCCTCATTTCAGTGGCCTTTCAGGGCCAGCTTCATCTGTCACCGCAGCAGTTTTATATCCAAGTGTAATTGTTATGCTAAAAGAGTTACACTATTTTAAGGTTTTTTTATAATGAGTTTAGTTGTCTGCTGGACACAGACATCCTCTACAGACAGAAACGGGACGTGAGCAGCAACAGTGCACGTCTCTTCACTGCTCTCTCCTCTCCACCCCCTCCCACAAATGCACCTCACACCTGAACTTGGAAGGTGCACCTGCGGAGATGAGACCAGAGTCCATTCTCCTTACCGTTTCCCCACTTGGCACTCATGCTGACAAAGTAGCTAGACTGCCAGTTAGTCAAGAACAGTGATGGCTTTTGTTGACACGGTGCCTAGACGGAACCCACCAAACTCATTAACATTGAGCAACCAAGTAGCTATCTGATGTCAACAGCTTTTGGTCACCACCAACTCAGAGTTATAATAGTGGCTTAGCAATGAAAGTTTTCTTATCATGTTATCAGTATCTTGAGCAGTCAAGTTGGTGGGTTTTTTAAGAAAACACCCTTTCATATTCTCAACCAAAATCTTGCTTGTTTGCGTAACACTTTTTAAGTCGTAATTGTTTTCCAGGTCCTTTGGTGTTGTCCTATGGGAAATTGCAACATTAGCAGAGCAGCCATACCAAGGCATGTCCAATGAGCAAGTTCTTCGCTTCGTGATGGAGGGAGGCTTATTGGAGAAACCAGACAACTGTCCTGATATGCTGTAAGTATCGCCTGTCATCTTTATTTTTCACTTTGAGCTAGGTTTGATGTCCTCTTTAAACTGTGATGCTGAGTTACCAAGGTAAATCCAACTCTCACTATACTCTTGTGAGCTGACGGGATTGTTTTTAATTCAGTGATGTTGTGGTATAACTACTGGAAGCATCAACAGTCTCTTTTGGAGCATGGGCTCCATCTGACTCATGTGATCAGCCTTGTTCTGACCTCCACTGTTCATTGGTGCTGCAGTGCGACATCTGTTTTGAGCTAAGTATATTTAACGTGTCCCTTCTATGTAACCTCCCTTCTCCTCTCCTCTCCTTTCTTTTCTCCCATCTAAATCCAAATAAGCAACTAAAAAGGCAGTATGAAGGATTGTTCTAGCAGTGCTAGTTTCTAATTGAACTGTCCCTGTAAACTGAACATGTGCCTTAAAATAACTTGGCTAATAGCAAGAATCCCACATTAGCTAAACTTAGGTTCTCAAATAAGCAGCTAAAGCTCTTGTTTTCTCTATCCAAGGAAATATAAATTGTGTAAAATAAATGTTTCTGTTTGGGGAGTTTATCCTAGTAGTCTTTCTTAAACCTTTCTATTTGATTTAAAATAATGTGGTTGGATATCAAAAGAGAGAAGCAAGAGTTTGGGACAGCTGAAATAAATTGTGAATTAACCCTTTGGAATCCAAGCTTTCTAATTCAGCATGCAGCTAAAATAATGCAATAATTCTTCTTCCCAGACCCATTCCCACAGTTGATAGCACTCGTTGCATTGAGGTCAACATTTTCTCCTCCCTTCACAATTTCCTTTCCTGTAAGCATAAAGAGAAAGAAATGTCCAAATAGCTTTCTCCAGTTCTATTATCAGCGTTTAATCAAGTCTCATTGCACTAGAGCGTCTACAGCTACAACAGGCTTCAGCCTTTCGCTTTACATTGTTAAAATACTTCTGCTGGGTTTTGTGTACAGTCGTTTCAGTTGTTCAGTCTTTTACTACTTTGATATGCTTCCCAAGCTAGCTTTCTGGAAGGAAATGCTGTGTCTTGCAGTTACTGAAATTTGTTGGAGGCCTACAGAAGGGATGCAATCACTTACAGGCATCAGCTGCTTGGGATTCTTAGGAAAAGAGCCTCTGGCTGGAGGACTTGCTTTGGTTTCAGATGACAGTCAGTGTTTTGTTGTTGGAGGAGGATGGGCCGTGGGCGGTGGAAGGAGGAGGTCTGACTGCCATCTGACGCCCCCATCTCACATTCTTTCCCTTCCATGATTCTGTGGAGAATTCCTGGCAGTCAGATGGCTTTGAAATTATGCTTGACATTATGGGAATTATACAGCAGGGGCTGGGCATGTGGAGGGACCTAGGTAAGGTGATCTTGTTTCAGGCAGCAGTAGGAAAGCAAGTTGTACAATGGGAATGAACTTGGCAAGAGATTTAGCGTTAGAAATTCCTCATTAACCTGGCATATGGATAGAAATTACAGAACCATAGGTCTGGAAGGGACCATAAGAGGTTATCTATTCTACCCCCCTGCACAATGAGAAAATCTCTTTCTCTCTCTCCCTCCCGCCCAACTGTCACTCCTCTCCTCCAGGGGGGAGAGGGAAAATAGAATCTATCCTGGCAGGGAAGGGACAGGTAAATGATGCCTCATAGATTGTGCATAAAATGCCTCTGCATCTTCTAAAATGCAGGAAATTAAAAGTGCTTTTAACTTTTGAAACTTCAGTGACTTGCCCCACCCTCCCTCACAGCCTGCCGTGTTTTCACATTCACCAGACTCCTCAGTCTGGTCAAATCCCCATGAAAGAACCAGAGATGTGCCCTAACCCAGCTCCACATGCAGACATTTGCTTGGCTGTCAGTGAGCGTATTTGGAGTTGCTAACTCCTTGCTGAGCCATTTCTTCACATCTCCTTTCCCCCCGCCCACGCTGCAGCCCGTCAACATGAGATGTAGATGTACTGTAAAACAGTATCACCAAACAATGTCCCATGACCACAGCCAGGGCTGATGAGTGAGGAGGAAAGAGAGGGCAATGGTACATTGGCCCTGCCTGAGGTCAAAGAGGCTCCCAAAATGTCTATAACATCCGTTGAAATAAAGTGAAATGGGAGAGGATGGGGTCCCAGTGAATACCATGTACTGAGGCCCCACATTTCTCTCGACAAGCCTGATCACAACCGCTCCAATTAGTGAGCTCTTCCTTCTATATCACCATGGAACATACAGAGGAATGGTCAGTATGCAGAGATTTCTCTTCTCCCACCTTTAGTCCTCCCTGTATATCAGGGGTTCTCAAATTGGGGGTCATGAGGTTATTAGGTTGGGGGGGGGTCGCGAGATGTCCGCCTCCACTCCCAAGCTCTGCTTCGCTTACAGCTTTTATAATAATGTTAAATATAAAAAAGTGTTTTTCCTTTATAAGGAGAGGTGCACTCAGAGACTTGTGTGTGAAAGGGGTCACCAATACAAAAGTTTGAGAACCACTGCTGTATATTCTGTTTCTGGTCACCAATGGGTACGTCAGGAAGAAGAAAATCCTTGGAAAGTACATTTCTGTGCATTGTACTGAGGCACAGATGGCCCTGGAATTCAGTACCAGTCTCATTGCACATCCTCAGTTTATGCAAGGCAATTGTTGGCAAGCGTTCTGTGAAGACCCATATCGAATGTGGGAAGTTCCTTTTTTGGTGGAGGGGGGTAGGTGTGGTGATCTTTTTCTCTCTGGTTTTGACCCTTAAGACTGTAAGGTTTTTCTTTCAAAGCATCATGTTCCCGGGCACGTCTGGGAATTGTTGTAGAGTGCAGTCACCACATAGATGCATCAACCTTAATTTTATCGGCCTGTAGAGGGAAGGTATTTCAATATTCAATTCAAGGTGTCCAGGAAGCTAAGTCAGTCTGCTGCAGGAAAGTCAGTACACTTCTTGCGCTCCGCATAGTGTGCATGGCAAGGCCAGAAGAGGAGCTAGGAAACAGGCAGTATAAATGTACCACAAGACGCACCTTTGTGGCTGTGGGGCCTCCTTCTCCAAATTTGTATGGCTTGAAAGCAGCTAAAATAAAATGGGGTGTGGTTGATGTCTGCGGAGGCAGCCAACATGTTTACCCTTTGGGCACAGTGTAGTGCAAAGGCTCCCCCAAAAGGAGGGAGGGGGTAAAATGCTACATAGGAAAACCCGCCATGACCCTTGCTTAATAATCTATAACAGTAACTATCCAGATTGCTCACATATTGTCTCTCTGTAATGCTGAGGGCTATTGTCAAATGTAGGGCCTTTTCTTTCTCTCTCTCTCGCTCTCTCTCGCTCTGAGGTTCCATCTTGGGCGGACATTATGCTTGTATGTTGCTATGCTTTGCTACCCTCGAGCAGTAGAGAGACATTAACGTCTAGATAAGTGTTTCCCAAGCTTGGCATGCCGCTTGTGTAGAGAGAGCCCGCAGGCCTAGGGATGTGCTGGCCGCCGCTTCCCGCCACACCCATTGGCCTGGAAAGGCGAATCGCGGCCAGTGGGAGCCGCGATCGGCCGAAGCTGCGGAGGCGGCAGGTAGACAAACCGGCCTGGCCCACCAGGGGGTTTCCCTACACAAGCGGCGTCCCAAGTTTGGGAAACACTGACATAGGAGATGTGTTGCTGCTTTTCCTCCTTTTGCCACCTAAGTAGCATCTTATATACTGCAGTTGTAATAGCAGTGTGCTGTGCGTCACACTGCGACTGTACATCAAGGAAGTTTTGTTACTGTTAAAGCTCATAGATAGTGTCTTCCCACTGGGATTTTAAAAGTTAGTTTAGTTGAGGCGGGAGGGAGAATTCTGTGTTTGAAGCAAGAATGCTTTGAACACTGGCTTCCCTCATCTGTAGCTTAGATTACCAGCCAGTTTAAACAGTTCTGATTTTTGCTTTGTCTGTGGTTACGGCTCATTTTAGAGCCAGGATCTACCGCTTGCACCACTTAAGACAAATACAGAGGTCATTCCTGCTTTTTAGAGGATGTAGTGGGCAGCGGGATAGTAACAGCCCTTACTCTTCCTTGTAAGTTCCTAGCTTTCATCAGACCCAGTCATAAGGAATCAACTCTGATGCATATTACAAATATATATTGAGTGAATCATGGTCTCTGTTAGTTGCTCAAAATATTAAAAAGGAATTCGGCTTTTCTAGCAATTTATCTATTTAATGCTCCAGTGCAGAAAGCACAATGACTTTTGCTGCATTTTTGTGTAAGCAGAAAGTGGAAAATTCATTTCAAGGACACTCAATATTCTGCTGCTTGGTGATTGCTGTAACTTCCCAGGCCTGGTTTGCCATCCCTCAGAAACATAGGTATTTAAAATAAAAAGAGAGTTTTATCAGCCCGTAAATTCTTCCAATTGTCTACTGGAAAGTTTTCTTGTTGAGATCGTGTAAACAAGGCCTCCAGTCCCACAGAGTAAAAAAAAAAAAAAAAAGAAAAGAAAAGAAAAAAAACAAAAACCCTTCCTTTTATGGGAAGCACTCTTAAGGTTTTTGATTCTGGAATGGCTTAAAAGAAACATCACATGTTCTTGTTTGTGCTGATGTCACATGCATTACTTCACTGCTTGTGGTATCTCCTTAAGCATTGCCCCTAGGCCGCAGGGCTCTGAGCCAGTGAATAGCCAGTGTTCCTGGCCCCAGCTAATGCTTCTATTCAGGGATATAGCAGTCAGCTGGAGAGGAAACAGCAATGAAGTAACAGAAATGGATTTTATATATTTGTGTGTGTGTGTGTGCGCGCGCGCACCCGGGTGTCAGACTTTCTCCCCTTTTGTAGGGGAGGGGAAGACCCATTTTTATAGGTTGACTTCAATCTAAATATAAAAAGGTTTTAAAAATTAAAAAAAAAATGTATATGTGTACATGTCTGTTGTGATCCAGCGGCTAGCAGTTTAGGTGATTTTTCGTGCTACAGATTCTTTTGCTAGATTACTTTTAGTCTTTGCATTAAAGGGATATAATCAGGTAGTTGATTTTTGTTCTTGATAATATCAGGTTGTGCCCAACCTAGTATTAATAGAACTGTGTTTGTAGCTAAAAGAAACATTTCAGTGAAGATAATTTTTGTTTGGATTTAAACATTCCCCCAAGCTGTTTGCAACCCAAACATGGCAGCATACGCTCTAGCTCAGAGGTGGGCAAACTATGGCCCGCGGGCCACCTCCGGCCCGCAGGACCGTCCTGTCCAGTCCCTGAGCTCCCAGCTGGGGAGGCTAGCCCCTGGCCCCCTCCCCCGCAGCCTCAGCACGGCGCGCCACCAGCGCTCTGGCCCGCTGTTCCTGCCGGGCAGCATGGCGGTGTGGCTGGGTCCGGCATGGTAAGGGGGCGGGGAGTTTCGGGGGGCAGTCAGAGGATAGGGAGCAGGGGGCGATTGGATGGGGCGGAGGTTCTGGGAGGGGCAGTCAGGGGACGGGGAACGAGAGCGGGGTTGGATAGGCGTGTGGGAGTCCCAGGAGGTGGGGGTGTGGATAGGGGTCAGGGAGGGGGAGAGTGTGACGGGTTGGCTCACAGAAACCCCCTTGGGAGCTGCCACCAGATGTGCAAAGACTACCCCTGCTTCTGTTTTCCCTGCCAGGTCAGGACTCCAGCACCCTGTCTTGCTGAGCCAGACACTCCTGTTTGGCTCCAGACACAGATCCAGGGTCTGAATCACTTGTCCCAAAGCTGCAAGTTTACCCGAAAACAGCGTACAGAAGTGCGCTTGTCTTTAGCACTCAGATGCCCAACTCCCAGTGGGGTCTAAACCCAGATAAATCCGTTTTACCTTGCATAAAGCTTATGCAGGGCAAACTCATAAATTGTTCGCCCTCTATAACACTGATAGAGAGATATGCACAGTTGTTTG